TTGGTAAGTGGTATCTTTCCAGAAAATTGTCCATTTCCTTTAAATTTTTGAATTTTGTGGAGTACAGGTTTTCAAAGTGTGACGTGAAGATTATCCACTTCTCTCAGTGTCTGTTGTTATGGCCCCCTTTTCATTTCTGATTTTGTTAATTTGCATGTTTTCTCTCTGCGTTTAGTTAGTTTGGATAAAGGTTTGTCTATCTTGTTGATTTTCTTGAACAATCAACTCTTTGTTACACTGATACTTTGTATTGTTTTCTTTGTTTCTACTTTATTGATTTCAGTCCTCAATTTGACTATTTCCTGGCCTCTACTCCTCCAGGGTGAGTTTGCTTCTTTTGTTCTAGAGCTTTCAGTTATACTGTTAATTTTCTAGTGTGGCTATTCTCCAGTCTCTTCATGTGGCACTTAGTGCTATGGATTTTCCTCTTAGCACTGCTTTCAGAGTGTCCCATAAGTTTGGGTATGTTGTGACTTCATTCTCATTGAATTCTAGGAAGTTTTTAATTTCTTCTTTTATTTCTTCCTTGATCCAGGAATGGTGCAATTGTGCGATGTTCAATTTCCATGAGTTTGTAGGGTTTCTGCAATTTATGTTGTTGTGGAATTCTACAGATACCTTCTTTCGGAACTTTGTATCCACTTCCCATTCTTTGCCCTGGGGTTTTTGTCTGGCTTGAGGGTACATGCTGTCACACTCTGTGAGTTTCTATGTGTGACATCCCTGTTGTGTCTGAAGATGCACTTTCCTTGGAATCATCACCATCTCCGGCTCTTTCCAATTTTCCACCTCCACTTCCGCATAAATCCCTGAGCCTTGGGGGAGAGATATGATAAAGACACCCTTTATACACTATCCAGCTGTAAGTTTCTGTGTTTAATCCCATCTAGTGCAAGAAGAAGCTTCTCTGCTAAGGGTTGTCCTTATGGGACACACTGATCTATGGATATAGTAATATGTTATCAGTGACCATTTTTATTTCTACATTCCTTTAACAGAATAATAGTAGTTTGCCCCTGAGGTCCATGACCTGTCTAACCTCATGTTGCTGGCCTCATTTACAGTGTCAGATACAGGTTCCATCTCATGGAGTGAGCCTTAAATCCAATTTTTAAAAAACAGTTGTTTACTTTCTTAGTTACTGTTCTGTTTCTGTGAAGAGACACCACGACCAAATCAACTTATAAAAGAAAGCATTTATTTGGGGGATTACTTACAGTTTCAAAGGTTTAGTCCATGAATATCATAGTGAGGGACATGGCAGCAGGCTGGCACTGGAACAATAGCTGAGAGTTTACATCTGATCCACACGTTGCAGGTAGACAGAGAAAGACACTTCCTAAGTCTTCCCAAACAGTTTCACTAACTGGGGACCAAGCAGTCAAACATATGAGCCTATGAGAGAAATTCTCATTCAAACCATCAGTTGCTCCCATAACATCTGTGTAATAGTGCATAAGCAGGTATACCTTGCAGACAGATCACTATTGTAGCTCACAGGGTTCTTGGCTAGGTTCATGATTACTTTTCTTCTTTGGTAGCATGTATGAATTCATTCAGCACTGTGAATGCTAGTCAGTAGGGATGAAGCTTCTAATTGGGCACCAGCTCAATTTCTCCATGTTGGATGACATCAATATGTGGCGTCTTTAGTAACTGGGTCTTACCATCGGGTTGTGGAGGGTAACTAATAGCATTGGCAACAGCCTACAACATTTGGAGAGAGATCTGTGTGATCCCATTGGCCAAAGTTTTAAGAAAGATTTAACCTATTCTGATGCTGGGTGTTTTATTTGGCAGCATATGATTTCTACTTAGGACATTATCTCCTCATTATACCGTAATTCCACTTAAATTCCTCTTACTTTTACAGTAGTAGGTTTTGAATTTTTGTCCCAAAACTTTTAGTGTTAATAAGCCTCTCCATAATCTTGCTAGTTTACATTCCCATCAACAATGTATATAGGTTCCTTTTTCTGGTATCCATACTATGTCTGATTTATCACTGTGAATTGAAACTGAAAATAATACAGATTTGAATGAACCCACTGAGTGAGATTAGACAAACAAAAGAGTAGTCAAATATATTAAGAAGGTGGAATGGTGATTTCTGGGAGCTATGGGCAATTATTGCTAAATGGGTGTAGATTTTTAAGTTTTATAACATGAAGTGAGTTGGTGATTATGTAAAAACATGAATGTACTTAACATGCTGAAATGCCCAGTTGAAATGTGAAAATGCTATATACATTTTTAAGCATAGTTTACATTTTTCTTTTTTTTTTTTTTTTGAAGCACCATTTCTCTGTGTGACAGTCCCTGGCTGTCCTGAAATTCACTTTGTAGACCAGGCTGGCCTTGAACTCACAGAGATCTGCCTGACTCTGCTTTCTGGGTACTGAGATTAAAGGCCTGTGCCACCACGCATTTTTTTGAAAAATGAATGGATAGGTATGTTGTGGACACACTTTGCAAACCTTGGAGTTGCTAGGTATATCTACTCCAAAGTGTTATGCACTTACTTTAAAGTGAAATTGTAAAAGATAATTATGTTTGTGTTGCAAAGTGATAGTGTTCAACAATGCTACACAAAGATGGCATATGTCAATGCTTGAGTTCAAGGAACAAGATGTGTGATGTACATCATAAATAATCTCCACTCCTTTGTCATCGAAGGGTCAAGCTGGGGGTGCCATGCTTAAACTGGAACAGTTGAAAGCCATATAAATTGTACTGCAAGAGAGAGCTCCATAATGTCCTTCCACTCATACATTTGTAGTTAGGACATAACATTTACCTGGCCTGATTGTTTTGAAAGCAGGGCACAGTTTTTCCAACATGGAGAAACAATTGTTCTCATGCTCATCTTCTGGGAAGTTTGTATAACAATAGCAGTGACAGCCAGCAGAGTTTCAGGCTCTCTGAAGGGCTAACTTATTACTAGACTACTTGAGCAAGCACTGCCAGAGGCAGGCAGTAAAGTATATTTGTCTCTCGTCATAATCTTAAATCCAAGTGCTTGGAGGAAGCCTCACTGAAGTCTCCAACTACTGACCAAAAACATTATTCCTATTTCCAAGGAAACCAACAGGACAGAGACAATGCATCACTAGTAGCCCTGCAACAGTCCTAGAGGCCTGGAAAAGGGTGGCTGGTGTGACAGCAAGTGGAAAATAAAGCACATCCTACCGAGGTGGAGTGCCCGATACAAAGGATAAGCCCACAAAACTGCAAACAGGTTTCAGTCATCTGAGCATAAGGGACAGTGCTCCTACTGTTCTTTATCATGTTTACCTTTGATTTCTCTGTATTCTGTTACTCCTGCAATCTGATCCTTGAACTCTAAAATTCAGAGGATGTGGCTCCACAGCAACTATAGCTAGTCCCTCAAAAGAAGGTCTCAATGTTTACCCTTAAAGGACAACTTTCCTTTACTTCTTAGAACTCTTAAGGAAAGAATTGTCATAGTCTGTTCTGGAATGACCATTTCCTAAAGGAGAGAACAAGTCCTTTATATGTAAGACATTGGCTAAGGTGTTTTGAGCTTGGTAGTATTCTTATGATGGCCATATATTATTATTGGCATGGTAACTTCAATGTTGGGAGACTAATAAATATAGGACATAGCAATAAACTGCATGTATCAGATTCTCTAACCCTTAAAACACTGGTATGAGGATGACTATCTCTAAGTTACAAAAGAGGAAGCTGAAGCTTAAAGTGTTTACTTAATAATTTGCCCAGGATCAAATGGCAGAAATGACAGAGTAAGTCAAGCTGAGATCTGTCAGATAAATATACAACGAGGGCTGAGGATATGGCCCAGATGCTAAAGTGAATGCCTGGCATGCACAAAGTCCTGTGTTCGACCCCTGGGACTACATAAAACTGGATGACATAATGGTGCATGCATGTGATCTCCGCACACAGGAGATGGAGTCAGAAGGACCAGGAGTTTAAGGCTAGCTTCAGCTGTAAAGCAATGTGGAGGCTAGTCTGGGCCATGTAAGACTCTTAAAAAACACAGCTTGATTTTTAGGGGTTATAGTTAAACAGAACTGTATTTTTTGTTGAACTAGTGAAGTTTTCATATATTTTCCATACTTTGGATACTTCTCCAAGAGGCATCCAGACAAAGCTGGATGTTGGAAACACATATTTTACACATTAGGTTAAATAGATAGCAAAACTTGCATTAGAACTTCCATAGTATCCACCATGACTAGGGCAGCCTGTCTGTCCTGTCAGAAAAGGGAATAATTAAGAAATAAGTAAATCCCCATCTTTTCAACCTGAGATTTTAAAACCTTCTTCAAATGACTGTGACATAAATTATTTCGATTGAGTTACTTAATTCTGTGAGCCTCAGTTTTTCCATCTATAAACTGAGCATAATAATATGAAGTTATTATATTTTCATCTTGCCACTTGAATAACCACATCATTGTGTGTTACAATAAATCTTTCCGCCAAAAGCTGCCTGAACCCCACCGCCACGTGTGCGCTTTAGGCCAGCCACCTGACCGAGTTAGGGCCCAAATGAATACACAGAAACTTGTATTAGGTACAAAGCTGCTTGGCCAGTGACTAGGATTCTCATCTGCTAGCTCAGTCTTAACTATCATAAATCTATATATGTTATAAG